GAATACAGCCCTTCTTGGTTTACTCGGTTAGCGCGTTCCGCAGTCCGTCTAGGTCAAACAGCTTGGTTTCATTTGACCAAAGAAGAGGCACTTCCTGTATTGAGTGCAGTGGGAACGTTCCTAATTATACTTTTATTTGGCTATGGACTAAGTTTTACCAGCAGAAATGAGGAACGACGAAAGTATAGTCGGGTTCGTTTAGCACTTTATCCTTTCAAAGAATATACGTGTTGAGTTAGATATTGCAACTTGTGGTGGTGTTTTAGAAAGAACATTCATCAAGGCACACTGGCAAGAAAGAGGATGACCAGTGGCATCGTGACGGTCAGTTGCATCAGACTCCATCTAGCCGTTCTGCTTCTCTGCGACAGCAACGGTGAGTAACTTTGATAGCTCTTAACAGGATGTTCGCTGTCTTCTTTTCGCCTCGCTTTCTTCGTGATATAATGTATGGTTATTTTCTTAGTGACAGCTATACCACTCTCTTGCATTTTAGTTGCCTAAAAGTTAATCGCAGCATGCAAAATTTTTCTCAGAATAATTTTTAGCTATTAATTTCAATAAACTATTGAAGGTTAATGCGAGAGATGGAATCTTTGATTCATGAACTGCGTGCAGAAACTTATTTTGGTTTGGTGAAGCTATTGAAACCTGGTTGCCGCTCAATCATTGTGCTTGTTGATGAGAAGTCGAAAAATATTTTGTTACCTCAATTTGCTTGTCATATTTGGCCTTATAGGAAGTTTGTATTTTGTCTTACTTTTAAAGTTTTTAGAGGGATCAATTTTTATAAAGCTTTTAAGTTTGTTTTAATAATTTATCTCTCTTTTTTAATTCACTGAAAAAACAGTACTTTTTTGTTTTTTTTCAGTGCAAAAACTTTTTCTTTTGGTTACTTAATGGTGGAGAAAAACTTGCCTTGGTTCCAGAAGTTACTGGAATTTATCATACCGGGACCTGATGATTCGGAATCTTCAGAACAAAGCGGAAAAGCAGACGGTATTTTCAATTTCATGGAGATCTGTTTTGGCTATATTTCTATCTCCTTTTTTATTTTTTACTTTTTTGAAATCCAGTTTCACTTCTAATTTGCTTTCCACTTTTCTATTATTTTAGTTACCTGGTTTTGTTTTATGTTATTTTGGCTTTATTTAATTTATAACCGTTGCTTCGCTAGTTATTTGGTGTAAAGCTAAATTCTTGTTTACTAAAATCTTTACCTCAGTGTCTCGGGATGTATTTCTCTAGCGGTATTTGTAACTGCATTTCTAATCCTTCCTTACTTTGATTTTTAGGTTCAACATCTTCAAAAAATTCACGATTAAAGAACATTAATCCGTCGCAGACCGTTGGGACAGTTCTTGTTTTGTGCGGTTGGAAGCTATATTTTAGCATTTATCATCCTATGTTTTCTTCGCCATCAAGGAAAAATTTCCTTGGTTTTGATGATGATGGAGAGCTAGTTACTTCGGAAGATTCAGATGATCCTGATGTGTCTGAAGAGGTTCTTTAAATTTTTGCGTCTATTTTTTTTACATAGATACCTTAGAGTCCTCGCTACTTCATTTTGCAAAAAATTTTTTTTAAAGTCAGTTTGCTTGACTGAACTATTAATCCTCAGGTTCAAATACGTCGGTGTTATAAGCCGAGGGTTGAAGATGTGTTGAATGGTCTACCTAACTGGTTGGATCGTTTGTTTGAAGGCTCTATAGGACGATATTATATTCCTGAGTGGCCTGACAATTTAAGATAACGACTTTGCACCATTGTCTTTTATTAATTGCTTCTGTTTGGAAGTACTTGTGTTTATGACGCATATTAAACCCGTGCCATTCTCAGCAGTCTTCTTCAGAAAAGGTACTCAGTGGTTCATCTTAACATCGTCAACACCGTATGATTTACTAGTTGCAAGTGGATTCTATATGATTATTTACGTCGGATTGTTGTTGTTATGGTGCGGACCTGAGCTGCAATCTAGCTTCTTTTGCCATGGCTGCTACCTCATTGTGCAGCACAGGTGATAATCAGAAAGTTTAATTTGTTTTGTAATTACTACTTCTTTTGTGATGGATTGTTAAACATTTCAACTGTTCGGTCGCTCAATTATTTCTCGGATTCAATTATTTTTGGTAAGTCGCGAACTTGCCGGATTACAGGAAGAATTTTTTAAATTTATAGAGCTTGAATGCAGCAAAGTAGGTTGATTTTTTGATCGGTAAATCATTATTGAGAACCCACTGTTTTTTCTTTTTCTTTTCTTTTTGTCGAAAATTTGTGACGTGTAAGTGTTTCGCGAATTACCGTTGTAATCATTCTTGGTCACTTTTTGGAGTTCCCACTAGTATATTAACTTTATATTCGCGCTTAAGCATTATTTTTAACTTGTTTATTTTGCTAGCTCTATAATTTTAATTTTTAAATTTTGTTTTCAGTGTTGGATTTCGCTTTTTATGTATTGTTATAGCGTAGTTACAACTTCCCGAGTAGTTTATATCGCATTAACGGTCATGTGTTCCACTAACTTTTCTCATTAATTACTCATATTTGTAATTTTCAAAGCTGCAGTACCCCACGTGGCCCTTCATGGAGGAATGTTGTTCCTACAAAGGAATGATACAATCATTCTGTTTTTAGCTTCTTTTAAGTGTTGCACTGTATCGCAATTCTAAAACTTTGTGAACGTGAGCCAGTGGTGTAAAAAGTCATACTTGATAAAACTTGATTAGCGTCAGGTTATTTATTAATTCATTTATTTTTCTACTACATACTGATTTCATGTTTCCTCCGTCATTTTCGACGAAAGGCATTGTTTGTTTCAGAGGTTAGATGATTCTTGTTCTCTGTTGTTGTTTCCAATGCAGCTCATTTGCGAGTTGGTATTCAGTTATAATGAGTTGGACAGTTTTCAGATTTTTTACAGTATTCAAGGTTTCATTCTTTTCCTTAAGGGTAGGCTTATGGAAACAAATATTCTTTTAGAATAGTCTTTATATTTGCCGGGTTTGTATCATAGTATTTTTGAAGTTGTTCAGATAAATTTACTGCTGTTTACAGCTTTGTATGCTTTTCTTATTCGTATTCTCCAAGCTACGTTGCTTTCATCTTTAGTCAAGCCTTATGTTTTTAACAGTTATACATTTGAGATGTTTGTCGCACTTCCACTTTTGTTTTCTGTTTTTTTTTCTCAAATGCTCTCTGCTGATGGTCATTTTGGTCGGAAGCAGCGATGGAATTCAAACGAATGATAATATATTTTTTTAAGAGTTAGGGAGCATTGTCCTCAATGAGAAATACTGACTTGTGGTATGTTTTTGCTATAAATTTATTAGTATAATTTGAAGATGAAGTAATTTTGATGACTAAACTGTTTTGTGTGCGTTAGAAAGATCACGGTGGAATCTGTCTGATAATACTAAATACAGAAAGGGAGGAAAAGGTTCTTTATTATTCGCAAATTGGGAGATATGATTGTCAAAAGAAATGTGTAAAAGTGATAATATTGTGATTTAGGAATTTTTTTCTCGTGTATGTTTGTGCTTACATGATTTTTCTTGTATTTTTATTTTTTTCCAGCAGTTTTTTTTTTTTTTTTTTTTTTTTTTTT